GCTTGGAAAATTATCAATATTTCGAAAATCGAATGTTAACCACACTGCGGAGCAACGAATATTGGCTATAAATTGACTTTCGCCAACGTCATTTATCAAAAAGCATTTCGCGTACCTACGAATGCAAGATTCTCGACATTAGTAGCAAAATGCATATCATTTAGCTGCTCATTGCTGCACCAGCGCATCTCGTGCAATCATTGGAGCCCAAAAAAATGATGATTGAGAGTGGGGCGAGATGGTAGGGGGTCGGTTGGTCGAGGAGAGCAAGAGAGCGATCGCGCGTGAAATCGTCTCGTTACGATGAGCTTCGGGACAAAGTTACCGGCCACATTGACCTCGCCGTTCACCGGTCAGATAAAATTTTTAACACAATTTCGCGACGCGGACCATCCGCGACTTCTCGGGGACACCCGCACAAGAGATGCTTCTCCTATTCTCAGTCACTGATCCGTGCGGAGCTACGAGATGGATCGGTCTTCGTCTTCGCCCACAATTACGCATGGCTGCACAATTTCCTCGTTCCATTCGCTCATCCATCCATCCATCCATCCATCCAGCCATCCATCCATCCATCCATCCATCCATCCATCCATCCATCCATCCATCCATCCATCCATCCATCCATCCATCCATCCATCCATCCATCCATCCATCCATCCATCCATCCATCCATCCATCCATCCATCCATCCATCCATCCATCCATCCATCCATCCATCCATCCATCCATCCATCCATCCATCCATCCATCCATCCATCCATCCATCCATCCATCCATCCATCCATCCATCCATCCATCCATCCATCCATCCATCCATCCATCCATCCATCCATCCATCCATCCATCCATCCATCCATCCATCCATCCATCCATCCATCCATCCATCCATCCATCCATCCATCCATCCATCCATCCATCCATCCATCCATCCATCCATCCATCCATCCATCCATCCATCCATCCATCCATCCATCCATCCATCCATCCATCCATCCATCCATCCATCCATCCATCCATCCATCCATCCATCCATCCATCCATCCATCCATCCATCCATCCATCCATCCTTCCATCCATCTGTATATTCCTCTAATAGCCTCGATTTTTATTATTCTCCATGCTACGCGAGGTTAATCAACCTATTACACTTTTATCTTCCGGCTCGCCATCCCTTCTCCCTCGATTCTCCCAGATCACATCTCTTTTTATTTTATCATTTCATTTTATCACAAATGATTATATGGCTTTGTAAATGGCAGTTGTTATTCATAAAGTAATCACATCCCGATCATCACATGTCATTATCTCCTTTAATGAAAGATGTTTTTAAGAGACTTCCGGGTCGTAAATTAATATCTTTCTCTTATTTAATATCAAAAATTTTAATTCAAAATATCTTTAATGAAAATTAATACTTTTTAAAGGGTATTATCTTAATGCCTTTCACTTAAATGGCAACGCAATAACTTAAAAACAACGATTTTAGGAATATTTATGCTGAGGCAGCTCCCCTATATTTATAGTATAATTTAGTTAGTAATATTTTTTTGTGAGAAAAGTCACTCGACCCATGTACTTTATTAAAGTAAAGCTCTCATGCTTAAAATTATTTCCAATGTCGTTGATTCAGTCGGTGAAATATATTCAAACGGAATAATAAATCAGAGTAATTAATATTGTATTTCAATTTTTTACACATTAATTTTTTTAACCAAATGTCAAAAGCTTTAGATGTTTTATGCAGATAAGTTTTCTAGGAAAATTAGAAATTCTTATCTTACGTTGTTCAAATTACCGTGTCTACATGTTTCTTGTTTAGATAAGCTCATATAACAATAAATCTACCAAAAACTTCAAACTAACTTAAGAGCAGAACTAGGAAGTCTTATTGCACGACAAAAAGAAAATTACAAGTTGTCCGCTCGTTCGTATTTATCCTCGGCGTGGAGTGAAAAAGGTTAACCGAGTTAGAGGAATCGAATTGAACTATGAAATTGTCTTGATGAAAAGTCTTGGTCACAAAATTAACAAGTTCTTTTTATCGAGAGAAAGAAGCTCTAGATGAACAATCGTCAGTTTCGTTAAAACTAAGTTAAATAAATTGTCTCGATACTATTTAAAGCTTAAAATTATTGGTATTTCGTGAAGTAACTGAATAAATTGAGTTATATGGACTATATGGAATTATTAAACAATATCAAAACCCATAACAAAGTCAAATTGAATATGTAGAATATGTAATTTATTGTAAATTATGTAGTTTGCAAGAATTTATATATATAGTATGTAAGAGAATAAAAAGAAAAGAGGTGAGTTTAAGTTTCAAATTCAAATAGTAGAGACCGTAGAGATAATTAGACTCGTGCAGTCTTACAAATAAATAAAGTATACATTGACTTAATTAAATTAATTGCTGTGATGTTCCATTTATCATTCAAACGAGCCTTGGATTTATATCTGGAACGTCTTTTTTCGACTTTATCCATTGCAATTTCGTTATTAATGATTAGAATAATGTTCCATTTAACGGGAATATTTTTATTAATCCTTTGATCCAACATTCGAGCGTTATAAACGTTCGATGAATAATGTAAAAAAAAAGCCAAAGTATTTGCCACATATTTATTGTATAAATTTTTATGCGAAACTTACTTCCGAACAAATAGCATTCATTTGACATTGTAGATTACATTTTTATCTTGGCTCAATAAGAAACAAAATAAATATCGAAAAGTCCTAGTCGTAAACGTAAAAACAAAACTGATATATCGTACGTTATCACACTGATTGGTAAACGAGGCTGTTTAATAAACTTTGGACGTGGCGCACGATTGATATTGTAATATAGCAAAAAGTTAGAGGAGGTGCCACGCGTGTGGTTTAAGCAACGAGCCAAGCAACGGCAAACTTTGCGCATAAATATTTGAATCGAGAAGGTTTTCGAAACTTGCCTCGACGCGATAGAAAATTGGACGTATTAATCGATATGCGTTGGCGGCAGCCGATAAAGTGTGAGGAGCACAAGTCGGTGCAGCAACTCGGTTCCGCCACGATTGGCCTCCAGAATCACAAAGATGGCCTTCGTCAATCGGGCTCGGATTAAATGGAAACGGGACGGTAAATGGAAGTCTAATAAGTTCTCGCGAACGTGGCTTCGTTAAGCGTTTTGCGAGTATTAATTCGGTCTCCTTAAGGGTCGCTTAGGATACGTCGGGAGCTAGAGAGTCTTCGTAGAGCCGCGCCTCGTTCCTATATTGATTTCACATCGGCTTTCCAGGCGCTGAGAGTCCCGTGGGATAGAAGTCCCTCCGACCCGACTCCGGGGAGTTGGGACGAGCCTATTATGGAGATTATCGAGAGATCGAGAGAGGCACAATTAAAGAGACAGTCAGCGAGAAAGTGTTGTGCTCGCGCCAGGATGGGGATCGAACCGATGTCCGAGCGAAATTTTAATTGCCGGCGGTCGTTTTATTTCTTCTCCTCCTTTGTTCCCGCCCCCTGATGACCCCCCTGATTCAGAGGCCCTTGTTGTTTCAATCGTTTTCAAGTGTCGTTGCAGTCGACCAAGTTTTAGGGGAAACGCTTTTGTTCGTTTGTAAGTGGGAGGGGCTGATACCGATAGCATTGGTATTACACTCGCAGTATGGACGAATGCTCTTGTTTTTCAATATTGGCTCTTTAATTATTTCATTTTTACGCTTTCGAGGAGGACGAGGACGCAGGCATTTATGATGAATGTCTGAGGAAGTGAGTGTGCATAGGTGTATATGGAGGGAGTGACGGGAGATGTTTTATTCGTATATTCGATGTATGTTATCACGGCCTTTTTCCTCGATTTAGGTAACAAGTGATTGCGCATGGGTGAGGGTAATAAATAAATAAAGATAAAATGCATAATGGGTGAGTTCCATCCATTTAATAGTCACATTTTTTTTAACAGCTTAAAATTACACAGATCGTTATTTCTCGTCGACAGCTAATATTTTCTCTTATATTTATATAGAGATAATTGTGATTATCTTAGAAAGGTTTTCGGCTGTGGGCCCATTGGATAATCGGGCTTCGTCGCTTAAATGCGAGCGAATCGAACCTTTTAAGATCGAGTAGAATATACAAATTATGTACAGAAGCAGCGGCTCGAGTCCCCCATCTCGTTGCGTCACCGGCTTTGTCGAGCAGCAGGAGGAGAATGAGCGAGCGTGGCGGTTGTGACGGGGAGGAAGTTGGTGCTGAGGATAGAGTGAGGAAACGTGATGAATGGGAGAGGAGAGTAAAGTTGTTCATTAGTGGGGTGAAACGGTTCTGCGATATGTAAAAAACAGAGGAGTATTAGCGATAATTTGGCGCGGTGCTTTTGCCGAATCGGTGATATCTCTTACCATCGATATAGCCATGAATTATAGGTATAATTTATTTAAATAAACATCGCTGCATCTCAACGACAAGACAAAAATTTCCTTATTAATTTGCTTAATCGATGTATTAAGAAAAATAGTGTCTCTAAGTTAACAGCGTTAACGACTGCAAATTAGCCTGGTTTTTTTTTTGCCTATCGAATGCATTTCAAACTAACACAACCACATACATTTTATTCTTTAGGCTACTATAGAGTTGTAATACATACAATAAGTTCAACATTATTCGTTACAATACACCGTAAGCAAGCCGTTAGCGTCGAAATACAAAAGTCGCTTTCGTTAAAACGTATAAACTGCGCTTATAGAGAGGTAATGGAGTTAACGCTCGTATAAATCATTCGACGTATGAGGCGTTAATCGTTTCACTGTTACGCAATTTCAAATGGCCGCACTAGTCACGAGGATCGCAAAAACTATCTTTAACTGAGAATTACGTGGCACTTTATACATTTTTTCTCTCTTCGCTAGATTAATACTAGAGTGATAAAAACGATATTACATTAAAATTATTCCATTTTCAATGTACATCCTCCCCCATCCTCGCGCACTAAGATAATCACGCGTTTTGACCCCCAAGAGAATCCTTAAACGCGAAAGAAAGGTAGAATGGCACAGCTTGCGTTGCTCGACCGATCGGTGGTCGGTCTCTACGAGCGAGTGCCTCGTCGTCGAGGACCAGGTAACGTAAGAAATAATAATGTAATCCTGCGAGGTTGTATTAAAAGAGCTTGGAGATCCCGAGGATAGCCAAGAGGGAGCTGCTGGAGACGACGCGGGCGATCGTGCCGGAGCTCGACGATGAGCTGACAATGAGCCTTGGGGGCTCCTGGGCAAGTCGCTGATTGCTCGCTGCGAGAGTCGCCGTCTTCTCCGTGCGGTAGTCCTGGGCCGTGGCGATACTCGGAAGGCTCGCGCGACACGCGAGGCGCAGCCCCCCGCCCGGGAAGTGCTGGCGCTCGAGGCGCAAAGAGACCGAGAGCCGTGACGTCACCGAGGCCTCGCCGATCGTGTGCAGAGTCTTGTCGCGCTGAGTGAGCGATCGCTCGATCTGTAAGCAGAGTATTTTAAGGAATTTACGAGAGTCCGGGGGATGATTTTTTTTGTGCTCGCGAGGGAAAGCGTACCTTCCATAAGATTGGATAAGGATCGATTACGAGGTTATTAAGTGCCTCAGTGGCATCTATGCGTGGAACAACTTTTGTAGCTACGACTTTAATTCTTGCCGCACTTGTACTTTTTCATACATTCAACATACCCAGCAACGTCTTATAACAACAGTTTTTAAGAGATTTTGTGACTTTAATACCGGAGGAGACAAGTTGTAATCGCAGAATGCCCTAATACCTTTCTATGTAATGAATAAGTTGGAGAGACGTTAAAATTTTATATTTTATAGCAGTTGTAACATTACCATGTTTTTGCTTTGAAATAATATAAAGTAAGATTATGAGAACACGATTTTCGATTTACAATTATCGATAGAATGCGCTCATAGCGATAAATCTTTGCATTCTGTATTTATTTGGCATTTGTCGTAAAATTAGTTTATATATATATATATAAATTTTAAAATTGTTTTCACTGTAAGGAAATTATTAAAAAAATTTTGCATTTATTCAAATAAATAATACTATATATTTTCATTGTATAGGGCCTTTTTTATAATGAAAAAAAGAAAAAGAAAAAAAGAACAAAAAAAAAAAAAAAAAAAAAACAAATAATTATCATTATTATTTTGCATTTTGTTATATCACATACGTTGGCATTACCGTCAAACGTTCTCACAGTAAAATAGATTAGGGAGCAACGTTTTATAAGTTTTGCGATCTCTGAAGATATTAAGATAAATCTTGAAATAAGAAAATAAGAGGCTTATCGTATTTATATAGAGAAAACTATTTTTCGTAATCGCTGCCAATTACTTAGACCGTCGACACGAAAGTGAAAAATAGTCAAACATTAATGTCCAATTATCTTCTAAACTCTAACTCTGATATTAAGAAGCAATCTTTTTAGCCTCAACGTTGTATTAAAGTTTTTCATTACGACATTTAATATTTACTGACGTATAAGGCCATTAATAAAATAAATGTGCCACATATTTCATGATAATTTACCAACTTCTAGATTTATCGTTGCTGGTGACTAAACGGGGCATTAGCGAGTGCTGTCCGTCGAGGTTGCATGCTGTAGTAAAGACCAGGCCCATAAAGTGGTCAACCCCATTGGGCCAATGGTATCCCATAATCGTTCCATCGCGATTAGCAATTAAAGTACGGGTCGGTTTAGCTTTTGAAATTTGAAAAAAAATAAAACACGAATGGTCGGGGTCAAGATTAAAGCTAAAGGCGAATCCCTGGCAATAATACGATATCATGGTGTCATCGTCATCGTCCCCGTCGCACGATTCGAAACTGTTATTATTCCTCGGCCATTACATCGACGCTTTTCTCATAAACAATTTTTCAAATCGAATTCACAATAAAAAATATATATAAAAATCATGTAGGAACGTAAGCCTGTGAATTTGAGAGAATATTGCATACTCGCGTCTTCGGATCTTCCCTACTTAACGCAATGTGATAATGGTCACAAGGTGCCGAAATAGGAAAACTTGGTTAATTTTGTAAGCGAATGAAGTCGAGTACTTGCTATTATGTACACATACATCCATATATATATATATATATATATAATATGTAATGTACAACAGATTTGGGGGTGATTCGTCGGTTGTAATAAATCTCGGAGTTCGTCAATAACTGTCAACAGTTTGGCTCTTGGCTTAGATGAAATGTGTACTACTTGATTATAGTGGTACAAGTTGGTTTTCCGAGGCGTTTATTTCCTAACAACTTTATCGTAACTCATAAATAAGTACTTTTATATGTGTACACGTATGTAACAATAGAGGAAAACTTATTTTGTGCTGTTGTTAAATATATTTATCGATATTTTACTATAAATATATCCTGAGAGATATATAATTATTTATAATTAAATTTATAATTATTTTCTTTTATTCATAGCAAAATTTTCTAACAAAATTTAAGAAATATTTTTTATATTATTTATACAATTTTAACACAATTTCGTATTACTTGATTTTTACTTTTTTTTATAAGATAAAGTTTTCAAGTATTTAATGCTCGTTCGTACACGAGTATTTTTATTTAAATTAAATAAATAAATATCAATTGTTTACGAATGCATTATTAGAATTACTCATACTAAGTGATAGAAGAAATTACAGAATTATAAATACCGATTTCGAAATATCTGACAGAGAGTGCTCCTTTAAATCTAACCGCACAAGCCCATAGATTTTTCTGGTCAATATTTATCTGTAATTTAATCCATAATTTATATATAATTTACAATAGTATCATTTATTTAAAGTGCAATGTATGTAGACACCGGCTGTGACATTGACGCGAACAACTCAATTTAATTATCGATACGGTAACTCGAAATTTACTTTTCCAATTACGTAGATAAGTAAATAACGAGTACTGTCAGCTACAATTTCACTTTATATCGACAGGTCCTCGACGAGCCACATGTCGCCGCTGGACGCGCTCTCACTCGACGTTGACAATGACAGATTCTTAAGCTATGAGGAAATAAAGTTGCGATATCTTACCGAAAATTCGCCTATAAGCGGAAATTCATTTGAAATGAAGTCGACTGTAAACGTGACGTGTAACAAGTCAACTTGGAAATGCGTTACCCATTGATTATAAATTTTCCTTATAATCGCTTCATTCAAATGGCGCTTTTTTTTTTATTTCTGGAATATTTTTAACGATATGGGCACACAAATCGTCATTGTGACGCGGGACATAATAATAATTTATACTCTCGGATGAAATATTTTAATGCTTTGATCAATTTGACCAACCAAGAGAGTTTGAATTGCGATAGGACGTTGATTAATATTGCTCGACGCATGGTCGTCCTAAACAATTTAATTTAATTAAGTAAAAATTACTTATAATCGAGGAGTAAATATCCTTGAAAAAGTTGGCTAACACATTTAAAATAAAATTCAATTAATGGGCTCGAGGAAGTTCGCGCCCCGGAAGTCGTACAACTTTCTCGAAGATGCCGATAATTTTTGACGGCAATCCGAAAGTCACAATCAGCAATTTAAGCTCCAAGTAAACGATCCGCCGAGGAGGAGCGACCCTCCTTACCCTCTACCCTCCCTCTACCCCTCCCCGCAACAATGCACTATAAATAATGACCTCTTCGGAACGTACCTTTTCCCCGTTGAGGTAGAGCGTGAGCTCGGCCGGGGGTAAGCTTGGTGCGGAGGTGCAGACGGCGTCGAGCTGCTCGCCGACCTGGTAATTGTGGGCGAGCCCCTCGAGTACGGGGTTGCTTTTGGGCAGGATGGCGACACTCACATTGGCCACGGCGTAGTCCGTGAGGAAGGGCTTCTCCGTCGATACCTCGCACAGGTAAGTACCTTCGTACGTTCGCATGTCTGCGGGCATAAATGCAAAGGCTCGAGATGCGTGGACCGAGATTGGGGACGGGGTGAGAGGGTGAGCGGGTATGCGATTTGATTATCGAACGAGGATGCTCGAGGTTATTAAAAATCTCCGTGATATTCAAGGTTGATTAATGTTAATGTTAATCGTGACATTCGTGGCTCAAGGAAACGCTGCCCGTCGCTTGGATCCTTGGGGAAGAAATTATGAAAAACTTTCGTTATCTACTTTTAATTAGTTTTAGTTTTGAGCTTTCGGCTGTGCAGCGATATTTATAATTATATTTTGTGAAAATTTATAGATTATTTAGAGATGATGGAGTACTTTGCTTTAAAGGATAATTGGTTAATGTACTCGAGAAGTTTGCACTGAATTTAATTAGTCTTTGAAATGTACGACAACGATCTTTTCGAATGTACTACCGTGCTGAATTTCAATTAATTTTGAGAAACAAATTGTTTTTTATTGAAGAGAATAGATTTGCCGTCAGATTATCTTTAAATTTCATATTTTGGCGAGTCTTGTAATCATCATTTTTGCGCAACGTAATTGCACATTGTTGGTAAAATAGCTGTTTCGTTCAATTTGTTCAATGTATTTCCACGAAACTTGGCGCACGATGCATTAATATCCTTATTTAATATTTAATTAAAAATTTCTGCACGACGTTTAGATGATTTTAATATTATTTAGGACATAGAATACGAATTCGTTATACATGTTTTTCAGGCTGGAAATAGATGCTTGATATTAACGATAATAAGGACACTCTTGTCGTCCATAAAATTCTGTTAAAATTAGGTTGCCATTGAATGGTCGAATAAGCTATATATTAAGCTATATATTTTAAAATTAATTATTAAATAAAAAATATCATAAAAAATGAATGAAATAAAAATGCGAATTATTTCTCGAATCCCGTTAAATACAGTTTCGTTAACACCCATTCAATGATACTATCAAACAGAAAATATTTAATCGAACTTTTTGTTATTGTATCCAGTGTAATATTGTACAATTAATAATTCAAATTACTCAAATTCGTCGCGGAATAATAATCGAGCCATTATACGACATACTAGCTTATTGTCATTGTAGAATCATAATTTGTCTATTATATGAGATTACCTGTTACTGGTTACTTCAAAGTGCTGCTCTGTAATGCCAATATACAAAGTCTTTATACTTTCCTGCAGTGAACTTGTTAATATTAACTTTCATAACTTCACTCATGCATTTTTAAATAGAAAAGTTTCCCCTCTCAAGAGTTCGCACATAAGGACAAATATATCAGGTCAAATATACAATAATGTGTCAGAGACTGAAAAATTCTTTTTCACATACGAGAATAAAAGTTAACGTTTTTGCATTTACGCATATTATATAATATGCTGAGGAAAGTAAATGCTTTATCACATACAAAAGGTAATATAAAAATTTAATTATTAAGTTTAAGTTGCTTTTATGTGAAAGCAACATGTAATACGTACGGTAGAAAATATTGAAAGACAGCGAAAAAAAAAAAAAAAAAAAAAAAAAAAAAAAACAAAAAAAGGAATAAAGAACGCGCCCATTCCGAATACTGTGGACACATGATAATAGTATTTCAAAAGTCATAAAATCTTTAGTAGATACTTCCGAAGTATAAATTTCACTTTCAAACATTAAAATACTTTGTAGATTTACAGCAAATCTCACGCAAGCGCAGACTTTATACTACCCGTTGCTCTTATCTCTGATATAAATAAGCTTTACAGATTTACTCTCTGGGGGGCACACCGCCACAAAAACTCCTGCACTTACTCACACAATCTTTCATAAAATGAATGAGTGTACGTGCGTAAAAGTAATAGTCCGAACGACCCTTCCAGGAAGACCTTTCGCAAAACTGCTATCTGTTCGTAATTTTTTTCTGTAAATATCGTTGAATGCGCGCGCCCGCACTCACACACACACACACAACGCACTACTCGTGCACAATTTCCTTGGAATAATCTACGTCACTGTGATCGACTCGCCAATTTTTTAATCTGAATATTTGCGCAGCTTTCCTGAACGTTCACAACGACACGAAAATTTTCTGAAACGTTCCCGATAATTTACAACAAAAGCCTGACGTTCCGCGGTCATACATTTTAATAAAATTTCTGAAATGTTCGCTAACTTTAAACGATGAAATAAACCAGCCGTTGGTCATTCTAATAAGTGTTATTTTCGCGAGCGGCGGACACATGATCAACTTAACTTCACTTTAACGCGGCGAAAATAATTAACACATATACGCGCGCGCGCGCGCGCGCGCGCACACACACACACACACACACACACACACACATATATATATATATATATATACAAGATGTAAATTAAAGCCGACAGAACAAGATGTCGCTTGTCAACGAGATGACACTATTGTCTCGAGCTCATCCAATCGTGTCTTTGGAATGAAAAGTTCGTTTACCTCATACGCGCGCTCCTTGAATATTGCAATTTCACTCTCAAGCATCGAAATTCGCAGCTCAACGTTACAAGGATTACAAGGAAAGGAACAAGGCCGTAGTTTATACGTACTCGTTCGGAAGTCCTGATGACCGAGTAGTAGGAGTCGCTCGCCATCGCTCTCCTCGAGACTGACGTTGACGTCGCTCTCGCCGGGGAAGACGGTGCCCTTGGGCGTCAGGCTCGGCGAATATCTGAACAGCATCCTGTCATTTTTGTACCAGTTGACCGAGTAGAGCTCCTTACCGTACAAGTCGTAATCGCAGTGCATCTCAATGCGGTCGTTACGGGGGTCGACGATCGTTGGGGCGTGTAGTTTGCGTATCATCCGCTGGTGCTCAAGATCCGCCAGACCTACGGCATTAGCATATCACGCAACTTTATATCTTCATTTTCCATTACGAGAATCACGAGGCTCGTGATATGGGTTAACGTTCATAATGCCTGTGGCATCTTTCATTCGTTCTTTTGTTTTCTGCCCTTTCGTTTTCACGAAATTCAAATGTCACGGCACGCGCGAATACTCCAATTCCCCAGACAAACGTACATTTTGTACGTCAGTGTCTACGCTTTTTATCACATCTCGTGTAAGAGGCTTACTTTACTCGACCGTTTCATTCGAGTTCCTTGAATTTGAGAAAATACGGTTAAATAAATTAAATTAGATAAAGGCCCCCGAAGCTTTTCTAACTATAGCGGCGGTTTATGTAAATAAACTACGAGACTAAATTCAGCTATTCGTTACGAATTGCTCTCAACAAGTTTTTATTCACGATATTGAGAGAAATTGTTGCTGCGGTACGGTTAATTTAATTTCTTATCCTATGAGATGGAGTATCTCAAAGGATAAGGCCGTAAGGTAATATTAATATTATCGAATTTTATTTAAATATTTTTAACTTGCTGCAAATATTGCCGATTCAAAATCAACGATCGAAATATTTAATTTTCTCTTTAACGAACTATTTACTCCTTGAATTGGGAAATTTATGTGAAATTTTCGATCTAATTAACATCACTTTGCAACTTACTTTATCATATTCAACGAATGCTCATTATTTTTCGGCATGTAAAACTTTTTTCAACTTACAAATTCACCCCCATTTTCACGAATATAAATATAAAAACTCTAATACACTAAATTAAACTATGTATATACATATCTTTTCGATTATATAGAAAAAAACTATATATATTTTTTTTTTGTAAAAAATACCCATAACGATTACATTAATAAATACTTAGATTAATAATGATATGGACTATATAGTTTGATTAAAAACACACATTTTTGCGCATTAGATATGAAGTTATTACATTATTTAAATTAAATTTGTCAAATAATGTACACTGGAATTAATATTTTTATTGTCAAAAAAAAAAAAAAAATCTTCTACCAGGTCATAAAATTGTAATTTATACAGTGCATATTATCATCTATTATAGCAGCGCTGCATTTGCCGATTGAACGATTAATAGCTTTTGATAAAATAATGTTGGATTATATGAATAGTAGGTTAATCGATTATTATTCAATGTATTAAAAATATTTTTTCGCCCATTAGTTTGTCATTTCAAAATAAACCGACAACTGAAATATATTTTTATTACTTTTGATTTGAAATACGTTAATCGCGCTAATTAAATATTCTTATTGGGTTTTAGAAAATCGTAAAATATATCACAGCGTGCCAATAAATGTTATTCATTAGCGTACAATAAAGTATCAAAACAAGTGCGAAATTTTTCTTACGATTACATTGCAGTATATTTTAATACTTACAAACTGGCTCGGAGATGTAATATACGATGAATTTAAAGGGCACAAGTAATTCATGGACCATTATAATTTACTAGATGAATATGGATTAGCTTTTATACGATATGTGCCACTACATTATAGAAGTCACTTATTATCATTGCACAATTATTATATTGTAAATCATTTATTTAAAACGTTTCAAGATTGTTTTGTAATGTTTATTCATCTTGCCTGTTATTTCAGGTATCCGTAAGGCTGATTGGAAAATATACTAAAATATAATGGAACTTGATAATTATAAACATAGTATTTGTGATTTAGTTTAATATTGAATCATAATTAATTAATCTAAGTATTATTGGACAGTCGAAAGAATGTATGCGCGCGCGCGCACACTCACACACACACACACACGCAAACACACACACGCAAACACGCACGCACGCAAACACGCACGCACGCACACGCACGCACGCACACACACACACACACACACACACCGAAGATATTAATTTATGTTTACAAGCTTGTGCGAACTGCTATGAAGGGAAAATGTTTTTCGACTTAAGCCCATTGATTCTTAATACCTTAGAAATCAGATGGCAAAATGGAAAAGTGTGACTTATTCTAGGCTAGTTTATCATTTCTTCTAAATTTAAGTGTTAATAATTTATGCAAAGATTGGCATTCTTGAAAAGCTACAATCAACAATCGCACAAAGTAATATTATTAGGCATCGCTCTTCGTTTAGCCACTCCTCTTTTTGTTAAGCGTGGACATTTTTGTTTTTTGATTTCTTCACGTTTATAATAAAACACGAAATGTCGAAAATCAAAGTTACAGTATTTGATTGATCGGTCGCGTTCCATCATATGTCAGCAGTGTCTCCTGAATCGTCGAGCCTTTAAAAAATGTCCTAACCAAATGAATTATCGCGAATAATTTTGCACGGCAGAATGGACTCGTCATCCCTCATCGAAAAATCTAAACTTTCCTTCTACGCTGAGGTTATCCATCCGGCAATGAAAGCGTCTTGGGCTCACTATTATATAACGCACATCATAATGGCGAAAAATCTCAAAGTGATGAGGCCCGATAATATAAAAGGCCGCTGAATTATTCATTTGGCGCGCCAGTCGGTGTGAATGTCCTTGGAAGCAGCAATAGTCGACTAATTGAAAGTATTTGATTATCGTATCCGCGATAGCATGAGGTGGGCGAGGGGGTTTGGGAATTGTTGTGTCGTCGGGGAATAGTAAATTGTCAATGGCAATTAGTTTGCGCTGTTGCAATGAATTGTGCAGGTGGCGAGGAGAGCGTGTAAAGCCAGGCTCTTTTGGCTTTCACGAGACAAATAATTGTCGTGGCGCAGATAGCAGCGAGTTTACGCGAAAATTCGTTGAGCGAAAGGGTCGATTGAATTTATGAGCGGGGATTGGCTCTAGACTTTTTTCTCCAGCGCTGATCACTGCCGAAAGTATTAAGGATAGTTAACGAAGCTTCTGATTAATCTAATCTGGACATATGACTCGCGTGTTGCTGTCTAAGCATTAAAGAGGGAGCCTTGGCACATGTAAATAGTAAATGAGTAATTTGGTTAAATTGCTTAGAATAAAATTGAGCCAATTTATATAGATGAGTGCGTTACGCGCGCGCATTCTCGACAGATTATTCAGGATAGCAATATTTTTGCTTTTAGAAATTCAACAATTCACTGTCGCAAAGTCTCATGTAATTTATCAATCTACATCGCTAATGCCTTTAGTCGATAATTGACGTGGTCGATTAATGTAATTAATTTCGAAATGAAACGCTACTTTCATTTCGGGCATTCGATAATAATTGGCTAAACTATGATCAAAATAAATTTAAAGTTAATAAATAATTGTGCTTTCACCAAGTGAAAATCTTACTATTGAGTAGACAAAATTATGAATTTCGAGGATAAAGTGTAGTGATCTGGAGCGATCAAAAGGTCTGATATTAAATTTGATCTTTACTCTAGATTTCACTCTCGTATTTCGAAATCATTAAAGCGAATATTTATCGAACTCAATAATAACCATCTTATAAGGTATGTATCAAATTTTACTAAATTATCTTACATTTTAAGTTAGCTAATTTATTTTTCGTGATTCATTTATGAGACACAGATCGGCCACAATTTTCATCGATCCTATATTATATTAGAAATTTTTCAAGAAAAATTTAAGAAATTCATCAGTTTATTAATGAAGCTAATTATTGATTTTTGGGTAAGATGGTGGTAAGGAAAAAAAATGAGCAACCTCATTATTTATTAACCTTCAAACTTGAAATATGAATTATTCCATTTTATAATCTTCAATGCGTGTAAATAATTTGAATGAACACGGTTCAATTGAATTATTCAGTATATGAATTAATTGTATGAGAATAGCCGTTTATCGTACAGTATTTGAAATTTGTTTCATTTAATTTCATACTGATAAGGCCGAACAACTAGCTTTTGTTTGTAATAAGTTTCTTACTTACGTGGCTAATGGAAAAATTATTCATAGACTCATACGCTTGTAGAATAAAAAGGTCATTGAGTAGAAAGCTACTTCTTTCTTACCATATACGGCAACGGCAACAGAGGCATAAAAATTCTTGTATCGAATAATTTAGAACACATCCAAGATCTAATCGACTAGCTATAAAAATTTAGTTCACTGGTCGTGTTACAATGTGCCATTATACAGAAGAAGCCAGGCAAGTCGCGCAATTAACAATTATAAGCTTCGGTTAATAAAAGCAATAATGTAAATGCAGCCTGATGTATAGGCGGTATCACTAAAATGTCAACGTCATAAATAATTTACTCTCCCCTCTACCCCCGATCGCCATCACGTAACAAAGGGCTCTTTCTTCTCCGGAAAAAAAAAAAAAATAAAAAAATAAAAAAAAAAAAAATAAAAAAAAAAATAAAATAAAAAAAATAAAAAAAAAAAAAAAAAATGAAAAACATAAAAGAAAAAAAATTAAAGAACAAAGTCGAGACAAGTTGCCGGACACTTGATGCTCGTCAATACCCCGGCAAAGCCACGAAGAGACGCACACGAAGCGCATAATCAGAGACGTAGAAGCGGGGGCCCGAAGTGTCGGCGCTGCCTCATAACGTCCAATTGAAGTCAATTAGACGCGTCTCGCGAGACGGTAAATGGAATGCGTGGAGGAGCGCGTGCGGCCTTTTGCGACACTCGCGCACATAATCTCCCGATGTCTTATAACGACACTCGGATCCTTGAGTTTGTGCATGGGCGTCGAGGAAGAAGGCGGACACGCGAGTCAGTGCCACCGTCGGCCATCTGCTTGGCTCGCAAATTCATGCCAATTCCCGGTCTTGGGAGGTTAAATGGCCCTCATTTCTTATCGGGTACCGTGCGAGTAGCAAAGAACAACGAAAAAGACTCGGTTAATACGAGATAATATGGCGCGAAGGATAATAATTATAGGCGTTGCCGTTGAAATTGCCCGGAAACATGCGCTGCCGTCCCCATATTGTCGCGCCTCGTACTTCCTATCCGCTGAGAATAGCAAATTTTGCAGTTTCATATTGTGCTACTCGCTG